AAATTTGCCAGAGAAGCATCGAGCTTATCAGGTGGTTTCCCAGTATTAGTCTTCCTCCTCTTTTGAATTACCCAGATCCATTCTTCTATCACCTCTCCTTATCTTTCAGAAAGCTTTCAAGATCCCTGGCAGTGACTCAGTGATCACTTCTACAAGGGTTTTTTAGTGCCTACAATATAATTTGTCTGGGTTGGGAACTTGAATTCATTATCCCCCCCCACCCCATTCTCCCCCCATAAATCCTTTCCTCCTTCAAAGTTTCCTGTCTTTAATGAGGGCACTACCATCTCCCTAGACCATCCAAGTTTATCACCTTAGAATTATCTTTGACTCATCCCTCCCCTTCATTCTCCTTATCCAATCAATTGACAAGTCCTCTTCATGCCCTCCTTTCCATTCACACAACCCCATCTTTGTTCTACCATAAGCCTTTCCCCCTGCACCTTAATCTTGGGCAGCTAAGTGGTGCAGTGGTTAGAGGTAGAACCTAGAGTCAGGAAGACCTGAGTCCAAGACTTATTAATTGTGTGACCTTGTACCGAAGGTCATTTTACCTCTTTTAGTAGCTGTTCTGCAAAAATTCAGGTGCTTACATATTAAAACCTTTCTTGACTCCTTATCTCACCTTTGTTCCTGGTAGTTTAAGAAAATAATTGGTTTACAGTATAGCCATCAGACTTGCTTTTGGCCCTTCATAACCCCTGAGTGTAATGCTAGTTTTGTGATTATTATTATTTAAATCACCTGAACCCCCTGGGTCTCCTTGCAAAAGGGAGGCTGCAGAAAGAAAATTCCCTGAAGGGAGCTTCACCTCTGCTGCTTAGTATTGATTTTCAAAGAGGGTGGTAATAGATTTACTGTACTCCACCTCTATCAGACCATCTGGAGTATTGTATTCATTTCTGGGCACCCTCATTTTAGGAAAGACTTTGGTAAGTTGGAAAAATGTCCTGAGGAATATTCTCAGGTTAGTTAAGGGTCTTAAGTTCATATGTAAGAATTGGTCGAAGGAACTGGGTGGTTCATCCCAGAGAAGAAACACTTAGAGGAGGTATGATTGCTGTTTTTGAATGGATATCACTATACTTGTTCACTTAGTCACAAGGCCAGAACTAGGAGGAGTGGAGAGAAGTTGCAGAGGCACAGTTAAGGTTTCCTATAAAGAAACACTTCCTAATTATTAGAGCTGCCCAGAATTAGACTGGGCTGCTTCAGGAGGCAGTGGGTTCCCCTAGGTGGGAGTCTGCAAGCCAAGGGTGGACAAACACTTAGATCCATCAAGGAGGACATTCTTTTTCAGCTATGGGTTGGACCGAGTGCTTCCAACCTTGGCATTCTGGGAGTCTCGGAGTCCCACTGTAATCTGCACTGACTTTGTGTTCAGTTCTAGGCAACGTATATTAGAAAGCACATTGATAAGCTGGAGCCAATCCAGAGGAGAGGGTGACCAGGACGGTGAGGGAGATGATTTGATCGATGAGACAAAAATCATTAGAAATACCTGGAGATGCATAGCACGGAAAAGAGGAGGCTTAGGGGTAGCTAGCTTTAATTATCTGAAAATTTGCCATGTGGAAGTGGGGCAAGAATGTTTTTACTAGGAATAATGGATTAAAGTCACAGAGAAGTGGATTTCAGCTCTATATCAAGAAAAAAATCTTGCTAATAATTAATCTTTCCAAAAGTGGAAAGGAAAGCTTTTGAAGACAGTGAATTCTCCTCTATTTGGAGTCATGAGTGGAGGCTGTATGATCCTTTGTTGGGGATGTTGTCGATTGAATGTTTATTCACTTACAAATCTGCATATTCACTGACTTCTATTCCAACTCTGAGCTTCTACGAGCCTAAGCAGCCTCTGAATTATAGATTTATTTTTATTCAGATTTCCTTCCTACTCTCTCCCTAAGAGGTAGGGGAATGGTGCAGGGATTCCTAGTCAATTCCCAGATCATCTCCATGTCCCTTCTTCCTCCGGATCACCATGCCCCAGCTCATCCCTTTTGGGTGTCTGTGGTTTGACTGGCAGAATCAATTGGATTCTCCTTACTCATTTCAAGCTTGCCAACACTGCTGGAGGTTGTCTCTGGGTGGCTTTTGGCCCACTTGTAAGTTTCCAAGTAGGGCGATCCCTCCAAGGTCACACGGCCAGCATGTGTCAGAGACAGGACTTAAACCCAGGACTGCCCTGGCTCTGAAGACAGGAAGCACTCTTTATTGGACCACATGGTCTTACAATGGGCAGGGAAGTGGGGCAGGCACATTGGGGTCATGCTGAGCAAAGGGTGCTCGGGGACATGCCTTGAGTGCAAGGTGGGCTGGTGGAGCAGAGCAGGCCAGTGTGGCCTGGAGCAGAGAGTGTGTGAGGGGGAGTAATAGGAGAGAAGATTGAAAAGCTATGTTGGCACCAAGAACTTTCAATTCCAAGCAGAGGAGGAGTTTGAAATTTACTGTGGGCTGTAGGGAACCACTAAAGATTTTGGAATAGACAAGTGACCTGACCAGATTTGTACATAAAAAAAGGTTCTTCTGGATGTGAAAGAGCTGTCTGGAAAGATAAGTTAGAACCAGTTGCTTCCATTGTCTGTGTATGTCTTTTAAAAACATAAATTTATCAAAAGTAAGCCGAAAATATAAAAGTAAACATTGTTAAGGCTATCAAGAAATAGGCACTCTGATACATTTTTAATATATTTTTTTATTTTCAACATTCACTTCCATAAGATTTTTGAGTTTTAAATTTTCTCCCCCACCCATTTCTTCCCCCACACCCCCTCCCCGCCCCAAGACAGTGTACAATCTGATATAGGCTCTACATATACATTCATGTTAAGCAGATTTTCCCATTAGTCATGATGTAAAGAACAATTAGAACTAATGGGAGGAAACACGAGAATGAAGCAGTAAAACAAAACAACAAAGGAAAAGGAGAGCAAATAGAATGCTTCCATCTGCATTCCACATTTCTTTCTCTGGGTGTGGATAGCAATTTCCTTCATGAGTCTTTTGGAGTTGTCTTAGATTCTTGTGTTACTGTGAAAAGCCACGTCTATCAAAGTCAGTTGTCCTATAATAAGGCTGTTACTGTGTACAATGTTCTCCTGGTTCTGCTCATTTCATTTTGCATCAGTTCACGTAAGTCTTTCCAAGGTTTTTTGAAGTCTGCCTGCTCATCATTTCTTATAGTACATAGTATTCCATT